GGGCACGGGGGCGCGGGGGGGCATGGGGACGGGGGTCACAGGTAGGGCTGTATGGACAGCGGGTGCAGGGTGGCCGAGGCTGAAGGCATCTGCGTTGGCAGGTGCTTAAGGGCCCAGGTCGTCTGGCCGATGCAACAAAGGAGAGAACAGTGAAGGGGACGGGGGTGACGGGGAGGCCGTGGGCCTTGTCAATGATAAGGTCACTGCCTGGGTGTTTTCTTCAGGGCAAAGCCAAGCCAGCGAAGATTTTCAGGACAGATACTTGTTCAGGATGATGGCTCTGGGACCTCGGGGGAGAAGGGGCTGAGTCAGGACACATTCAGGGACAACCTTGGCACGTCTGGGAGGTGACGCGGTGGGACGAGACAGGGGCCACTGCAGCTCCCAGGTCCCTGGCCTGCATGGCCAGCTGCGGAGGGCCATAACTCAGGTCCCAAGGAAAAGGTGATGTGTTTGGGTTTTTGCTGCGTTTTGGTTTGTTCTCCACAGTGTTTGAGTGTCGATGCTTTCACGCTGTGTCCTTGCAGCTCGTAAATAACGGCAGATGGTCTCCCCCTCCGCACGCAGCCGTGCCTTCCCATTTGGTGAAAACACGCGGCTGAATAACAGCCAAGCGCCGCATCGTTGCCGCTGCTGCTCAGTAAGACTGACTTTCCATGAACCGACCGCGTATCCTGACATGAAGGTGCACGGCTCCGAAGCTGCAGGGTGCACGTGCTCACTTCATGAGCAGGAACCGGCTTCTCTTCGGGAGGAGCACAGAGGCGGAGGACGCAGGCCTCCCCACACGGTGGGGTCAGTGTGGGACACACCGGTCTCCGACGCAGGGCCCTGCAGCGAGGAGGAGGCCTGACGGGTGCAGGGCTCTCCCGAGTGTCTGCGCCTGATGGGGGACGACACGGAGAGTGGCAGGGACGCCAGCCTCGGAGACGGGCACGCCTGGAACAGGAGCTGCTGCGGAGGCCAGGCCAGGCCGTGGGGTGAAGCACCCTGAGGACCGGTGCTGCCTGAGCATCGGGGGTCAGGGGGCCCCGCCCAGCTGCCACACGTGAGTTTCTGGGTGTTTGTTCCTCACTACGCTTCCTCTACAGCAGGGAACAGAGGCAAGGCTGCCGTCAGCTGGGCAGGGCTGGCCCCCTTCCGCACCGGGCGGGAAGCCAGCCCTGTAGATCCACGGCTCCGCATTCTGCGGCCCATCCCACTGCCGCCGTGCCCACGACTGCGGGACAGTCCTTATCTCACGGAGGTGAGCTCGGAAGGAACACGACCCGGAGGCTCAAGGCCCTGCTCCTGGCTGACAGTCATGCAGGCCTGGGTCACGCCTCTGGTGACAGGAAATAAAATAAACCAGCTAGCAAGTTCATGTAATGAGGCTCATTTGCTCGGGAGCTTCGGACTGAATTCCACTCAATACCTTGAAAGTAGGACAGCACCATGATGGTAAATGAATTCTGTCCAAACTATCCGACGAGGGAGCCGCGGAGGGGGACGGAGAGTTCTGTGAACTTTGAGCAGCATTCCATTCCCTTCTTTCACTGGTGCTCCAGGACCGGAGAAGTCCGCTAAATGCCAGAGAGGAGAGAGGAGGCGTGTTCGTGCCTCGTGGGCCAGACCTGCCTGAATGGCCAGGGGTCTGCGCTGTCCCAGTGCAGCTGAGCCCACATTCCTCCACCCCCGGCGCTGAGGCTTCACGCCGGCTCGCATGGTTGTTGAAACCAACGTCTTCCCTAGACTCCAAACTGTGAGGCTGGGTGTTTTCTTTTAGTCAAAGCTTTTGACTGTAAGGCTCATGAAACCACATCAAGCAAATTCTTTCCGCGCCAGGACCAGGGTGGACGCCCGAGCTACAGTGAACCGGACACAGAGGTGGCAGGTGGGAAGGGCCCCCTGGTGAGGCTGGAGAATCTAGTACTTCTTGATGGGAAACCTTCACACTTAAGAGAACCGACACGACAGGGAAGCTCAGGAGAACCCGCTCATCCGCGGGATGATAAAGACAACAGAGAACACGCGGCACAGCAGGTGCTGGGAGCCGCGTGGGCACGGACTTGTAGACGGACTAGAGCTCAGGGACATCACGCAGTTCACTGCCTCTACCCCTCAGGCGGCTAAAGACAAAACTGAAGCAAAATGAAGGCCCTCAACTCAGAAGGCTCAGATTGTCTCCGGAAAAAAAATAATGTACATATAAATATCCAGACCTGTATTCCAAAGTCTCCGGTACTGACTGTAGGTCCAACAGGAATTCAGAGGGAAATGAAGTAGAGCGACCGAGTCTGGCACACGGGACGTGGGGCTGCCTGGCTTCCGGGGCCAGGCTGGTTTGGCAGAAACAGACAGAGAGCCGCGGGCGTCTAGGGAGAGTGGGCAGCAAAGCTGCGTAAGCATGAGCACACGGCTCTGGGGAGGCGCTCGGACGCGCTCTGGGAGAGACACCGGAACAGGGACAGTGTCCGAGGGTCGGAGGGGCTGCAGCGGAGCCGTGACCGGCCACTCTGCGCAGAGAGGCCGGTGGATGGCAGCTCTCGGCAGAGCCCTGCGGGCCGCCCGTCTCCATCCCAGGCACACGGGCGGGCGGGAGGCGTGGGCCCCAGAATGAAGATGTTCTGCTTCATAATCATCAGAAATGACTTTGAGGGACTTAGCATACAAATGCCAAAAATGTTACAGGCTATGCCTAATGATCTTAAACGTGAAAGAAAATGTTTTTAATTTCATCTTGAGGGTGTTCGGAAACACTGCTGGAGCTTTGCGGCAGCCCTCACCGACGGAGGGTCGTGAACTCCGCGATCCCACCGGCCCTGTGCCTCTAGCCCTGCAGCGGGGGGGGGTGGGGGGCAGGACCGCGGCGCATGGGCTGGCCATCGGCTCCGGGGTTCCTGCGGCCGACCCAGACACCTGCCACAT